AAATAAATGGTAGCTCAATGGAAGGTTGTATGAAAAGTTGGCTTGTTATTGTTATATTTTTGAAATGTTACATATAATTATATCAACGGAAAAAAATCGTTATTCACAACTGGAAATAATACTCAAAGGCTAAGAGCTAAAAGAATTTTTCCAAAATAAGTAAGACTAGTCTAACGATATTAAAGTTAACTTAAGCTTAATTTTGGATTTATAAAATAATTATTACTTATTGGATTATGCCTAAAATTAAGCCCAAGTTCTAGAATCTCTAGAAACATTTTTAAAAATCATCATCTTTCTTAAGTGTTCTAGAGAATTCTTTTAGTTAAACTAGGGGTTGCCCGCGCGATGCGCGGATTTGGTAATAAACTTTTAGTAGGGGTTATTGGTTCTTGTATTTTGGTGGATTTATAAATCTTCTTTGGATTTGATAAATTTATTGATTTCAAAATCAGCAAAATGGAAAAAAATCAAATCCACTCAAATACCAAGGTTAGACCTTGTATTTGGGTCTTTGTATTTTAGTCATGAAAATCCTTCCAAATCCATTCAAATTCAATTAAAACTCAAATCTTTATAATATTTAGATTCTAAAATGATAGAACCAATAACACTGTATTTCATTATGGATTTTAAAATCATAGAACCAATAACACTGTATTTTAATATAAATTTTAAAATACAAGAACCAATAACACTAAATTTGGTTTGGGTTCTCAAATCCATTAAAATCCATTAACTATTTTTCTTTCATATGATTATGGATTTAGGTCAAATATAAACATGTGAAATTGATTTGGTTAAGTCAAAGATTTGATCATTGTGAAATTTAAACATAGAAAGTATTACTAAATGTTTTTGAAATTCTAGATTATTTAAAAATTAGTGTTATTGTTAATATGAGAACATATAATTTAAAGTATTTATGTGTTATTTTTGGAAACTCAGACTCTTAAGTGCTCCTAGTCCTGGAAGATATTAGTAAAAATCAGTTGGAAAACTCTTACAAAGCAAGTGGAAACATCGAAAATATTAGATATAGTCCAGTTCAAAGGTATGACATACTTGCAATGCAGATTGACATTCACACCATATGAAGGTAAATTGGGATCAAAAACAAAAAGGAGGCATTTTTTGTTCAACCTAGGATAAAATAAATAGACAATTTATAATTTTAAACCATAACAAATTTTTAATTTGTACGTGAGTCGCCTAAAATCGCATTTTACAAATTTCTTTAAAAATATAATACAAAACATATGATATCTTTAGAATTCAAAAGTTACAACTCTATGCTCACATGAATAAGCATTGCAGATCATTAATCTACTTCAATATCTTGACATCCCTTGCCTTGATCGAAGAACACTTTTCATGATAAACATATTTTGGCGTCTTCATATGATTAAAGAGTACATTACCTATAGGTAGATCCATAGAAATTACAAATCAATTAATTACATAAAAATTTCGAACATGTTGTATAATTAAAAAACCAAAGCTTACATGTGTTAGCGCAAACTCAATGGTGATATGAAGTAAGTTTGTAATTAATCTTTTACGTACCTTTCCCATTGATGGGACATTGTGACTGTCTTGTGCGTAACTTTATTCTGCCTGAAATGAATAAGAAGATCTCAAAGATGAATTTCATTGAATTCCAGTTCATATCTAACTGTATGAAATCATCTCTTGTTTCCTGCAAGAATGATTCATAGTCAAATGAGATCCGAAAACAGTATTCTTCAATGCTGGCTCTCATTTCATTATCTGAAGAAGGTTATGAGTTTTACCTTATCCTTTGGTGTCCTAGCCTTTTCCACCCTTTTATCATCGCCAGCCTTCCATTTTTTCCATTACTTTCAATTCACTTCATTTCATCCTCACCTAAATCGATGATTCTTTATTTATTTTTGTTAAGAACCCGATCATACCTTATTTCCATCGTTTCTCAATTATTTCATTTCTTCTTCATCTCATATATATTTTAGGTTTTTTTTTCACTTTCGTTTCATTTTCTTCTTCGAGTTTTATTGCTTTTATTTTGTTATTGTCTAGGGCCACCTCTTTCTTCTCCATCGTAATCCGCTTATCACAATACCCACACGATGTATTTCTACGTCTCGGAATTAATGATGCTTCAGAGGATATAATTTAAAAAGAGATAGAAAGGAGCGCTTGCCTAGTGCCAAACAGAAAAAACATAGTGTGATGTTTAGGAAGATAGATATGTTTTGCAAAAAAAAAGGAAGATAGATATGCAGGCAATAAACATTGAAAGTATCGGATGTTACTTTACAGAAATATGACATTCAGTATATAACACATTGAAAGTATTTTTTTGTTCTCTAAAGTATTATATCGGATGTTCTGTTGAAAGAAAGTATGAAAAAAATATCGATATTTTTAAAAAGTTATGTGTCAAAATAAAATAGAAATCAATATCAATAGAAGTAAATTAAAAAAGAAAAAAGTCATATAAAATGAAATTAGCTTAATATAGGTTAACGTTTTGAAAAATCAACATAAAACTTTGTCATGTTGTCGGATAGTATTAGTCCATTTTTGCAATTGACCAAAAAGTTAAATATTTTTCAATTGCAAAAATGACCTGCGAGAAGTCTACTTCAGAAAGTAGACTTCTCCTTCTCACAGAAGTCTACTTTTTATTGAGAAGTCTACTCTAAAAAGTCAAAGGTTGGTCAATTGCAAAAATGACCTCTTTCTAAAGAAGTCTACTCGAGAAGTTTACTCCATTTTTTTGTTATCAAAGAAAATAGAGTAGACTTCATTCGGACCAAAAGAAGTCTACTTTTTTCATGCGGTCAATTGCAAAACTAATCTAGGTGATCGGCCTGCATCGTGTGCAGGTAATAAACATTATATATGTTCAATTATGATTAATATAGTATTAAAGATGTTTTATTTGTACATGATTAATTATGCATTTGATAATAAAAAATAACTAAAAATTAAATATAAACTATTATATATTTCAATAGATAATGAAGATACAAAATATTAACTAAGATTTTGAAATATTTGGATAAAAATGTAAATATGATAACTAAATAAACGGAAAAACATTAAATTATATAATAATTTTTCTAATTTTTATTTTTGATCCTCACGCATGTGCAAGTATAATTTTTTTTATATATATAATTAGTTGTAATATTTAAGTATTGATTAATTTTTTTATATATTATGTAAATGTTATTTTTATATATATATAAAATTTTAGTGTTCAACAACAATCACAAAAATATTTTATATCATTTTGTGTCTTTTGAATTTTATTTTATTTTTCCCAGCGTTTACACTAACATATAATTACAAATGTAAAAGTTATATTAAATAATAATTAAATTATTATAATATGTTTTGAACATTATCTATATAATACTTTTTTCTCTTTACATAATATAATCTTACCAATATATATTTTAAGTATACATTTTTTCTTAACTTATTGCTAATTAAAGCAATATGAATTCTACCATATTTATTTATCGTAAGAGCGGATAGATGGTTGGCCCGCACATTCGTGCATACCAACCACCTCAACGCTCTTAGGATGTATAAAGATTTTTTAAAAAATGTAAATTATCTAACAACTAAAATTAAAATTAGAGTGTAATCGAAGTTAACAAAATCTATGCACGACAAGTTTGCATTCGAGTTTGACTTTTGCACAATTAATATTTATATCTACACGTATATTTGTAAAAAAATCAAAGTATATGTTTTGTATATATATATTTTATGATGTATGGTTGATTTTTAAAAAATATAATAAGTATATTTATGCATATAGGTATGAATTCAAAATAAATGAATTGTAATATTTATGTATTTTTTGGTATTTTTCTGGTATTGATAAGTTTTTTCTGATATATTTCGCAAACGTTATGTTTTTACATGATGCAGTTATTGGCGTTTAACAACAATAACGAAAACCGTTTAATTAAAGTTTCTTATTTTTCAGCGTTTGATGATATATGGTTTCTCAATAAAAATATAATAAAAATTTATTATAAAATTTTTGAAATCATATTTTAAAAAATTCTCCAGTACATCTCTGCTCTCTTCGTTAAATTTTTTATAATCCGCAATCGCTCGCTTCCACAAACTCTCTGTAATCAAATCGTTTAAATCAGTCGGATCTAAACGTATATGTTTATGCTTTAAAGTATAAAATAATAAATTTAGTATTTGATTGTTATTAAAAATTAAGAGTTGATATGTTCCTTACTTTAATATATTTGTTAATATAATATATAATGGATCATAACATATACAAAACTTGATTTATGAAATAATGTTTTAATATGTTAGAAAAAATATATGCATTAAAGAATTAATAAGTGTAAGATAATATTTTTAAATATTTCAAATAAAAACTTAAAATTATTTTTTTGTCTTCTTTGACTTATATTTTTTCACATCTGTATCCATCTGTATGCTCACATCTGTATCCATCTGTATCCATCTTAACTATTATTTGAGAATCATGTTTAATGAAAAAATATTATCTTACACTATTCTCAAATAATAGTTAAGATGGATACAGATGTGAGCATAAAATTGTAGCAAAAGCATAATATAACATCTTTAAAGCTTAGAACATGAATAAATTTGTAGCAAAAGCAACCCTCACTAGTCTCTTTTATCAATACACACACTTCCTCTCATTTAGGAACCGGAACTAGACTTGGAACATACACATTATTACAAGGGTTATTACAAACTCCATGTATTCTGGTATACTCACCTACTTTTTTTATCTGATCCTCACCCATTTCGTAAACATTGGTGTAAAGATACTTGTTCTTGAAATCCAATTCCTCACACACTAGCATGATCTTATTGGTCTTGTGGATGAAGTATGTCTGAAAGTTGATGCGACAGAATATTGAGGGATCAAGAGATACATTGAGATATCCACGAGACAACCCCATCGGTCAGCTTGCTTGTAACCCAAACATCAATGTTCGCACTTATATGATGATGTAATAAAGAAAGCTTATCTCCTCCGAAACCTGACAGGTGTAGTCTGTTTTTATACCATTTAGTTTCCTTTGGAAGACCACATATGGGCTTGAATGTTTCCGTGGAAAATCAAAACTTTGGATGAAGATTTCAGAGTTAACCGTTCGAGCAATCCAGAACATGTTTCCATTTATAGACACTGCAGAGTCCCACATATGATCGCATTCGAGAGTAGCATCAACACTTCTCCAGAGTTTAGACTTAAACTCATATATCTCAATCTCTGATGGTAATTCGTCTTTATTGATCCTCAAGATCTTGTAGTTGTCACGGGATACATTATCATATCCAAAACCGTGGACATCAGAACGTCTGTAAGAATTCGAGGGTTCGATCCATGTGACTCCTCTCAAAATCGGATTCCAAACAGCGAGCTTAAATGTATCATCATCATAATACGTACCTCTCTCGATACACTCACATAGCAATAACCCGTCGCAGTGCATCGTTTCACTAACAACATAATTGTGTGACTCGTCTGAGAATGGTAGACGCAATAGAGCTTTGGTCTCAGGATTGAAGATTTGAATCGATTTACGATCAAATTCATCAACTTGTATGAATCGTTCCTGGGAGGGATCTAAGAGTTTGTAGATGAATTTCTTGTCGTTGAAGAAAGCGTACCATTCTTTGCTTGTCGTTTTGAATCGTGCCAACAATTCGATCGGAACCCTAGCCCTAGAAAATATATCTTTTACTAACTCCAAAGGCAGCGACGACAAGGAGGAAGTCATGGAAGAAAGAATAGAAAATTAGGCCACGAAGAGAAAACAATAAAAAATATATATATTTATATACCGTAATATTGGCTTAATCGATTACTTGGAAAAATGTTAAATTTCAATTGAAACAAAAACTTTCTTTTTTTACCTTCATCAATTACTTGATAAAAACTTACTTTTATCTACAAAATTATCTGTTAAATTGGATATGTTTTTATTTCGTAACCAAACAAAAATGATTTGTATGTAGGAGGCTGACCCTTTTATAATAGCAATTAATTAGTCATTTAATCAAATTTATGTGTGTGGTAAACTTATAAGTCTGATAAAGTCATAATTATATTTAAGTTTTATTAAAATACAAAATTATTGGGTAACATTTGTATATTTGTAAAATAATTAAAGTAGAAAATAGAGGTAACCATTGAACTAAATCTCTTCTCTATTTTTTTATTATTTAAAAAATTTTATTAATCTTAAAAATGATTACAAAGACATTACACATAATTTTTATAAAACAAATTATTATATACATAAATGTATGCACCATATTAAAAAAAAAACGTACACCAGAAGAAGTTTGACGCTTTCCAAATAGTAGTTTTACTCGCCAATTAGAAAACAGTCCAACCTCATATTTGACTTTTCTCTAAAATGATTTGTATGTAGGCTGAACCTTTTTATTTGTTTCAATATTCTGACTATTTGAATCTCTATCAATGTCTTCTAAAGGATTTCCTTTTCAACAATACACTCCATGACCACGAAAGTCATGAATGCCAAACTTACAATTTGATAAAGCGATGTTCCAACTCCCGTCGTTTCTCTGATACCCTCAAAGGCAGTAACGATGACTTTAAAGGTAGACGAAGCTATGACAGAGCCTATATACTCTAAAATCCATTCAAAGAAGGAAAAAAAGAAGAAAAACTGTAGTGACGATGGCTAACACTGCTATGTTGATGGCGTCGACGATGAAATTGATGATGATGGTAACTGTGGTTAGAGGTGGTAATATTGACCGTACAATGATGTATGTTTTATTTTTATATTTAAATATAGCGTGGTTGAATGACAACACTAGTAACGATAATGATGTTAACGGTATAAAAGTTAACCAATGAATAACAAAATGAATTAGAAAAGGAATAAGATCTCCAAAAAGAGATGACAGATAAAATCTAGCAAAGATCTAAGCTGAGGAGTACGCAAAAATCATATTTGAAGGATGAAAAATTTCTTGTTAAGTTAAATTAAGTAAACCGATCTGTCATATCCAAACAAAACAAACAATTTCTACTTTGTTGTACTAAACACGATAACAATATGACAACAACACTCCAAAATACAAAACATTCTGGGTCTAAACACTTACTCATGTCTCCCTAGTCTCTAATGGCATTGGTTTGACTTTCTCAATATCTCCTACTGTGACATTGCATCAAAAAGAAATTCAAACCTCTCTTATTCCAAGAACCTTCTATGTCTAGTCCAAGCAATGATCCTTACCATTTATATGTTTCTCTCCATAGACATGGTGACTGTTTCTGACAACCTTCCTTTTCAGACGAAATTGTAGCTCATGGTTGTCAGCATCATCGACCATCAAACCGTTATAATTCCACTTTATAAGTCCAGTCCCAATCCTCACATTAAAATGCTCTTGAGCATTAGTACACTTGCTTTTAGCGCTTGGTATCAATCAATCAGTCCTGTTCTCATTGTATCTGGAGTCCACTCTATACAATCCTCCACTATCTTTTGGTATTATGTGTGGATTGACAGGTTGGGTGTTAGTTATGTGGTCAAAAAGAATCTTCCAATCCGCTGCTCTTAGCCAACAGTGTGTGGACCTCTCGATTGCTTCATTGATCGCTATTTTATGAAACTGTGATATGCCGAAGAGAGTTTACGTTGCAAGGAAGAACAGGACAAAAACAGAGGACATAGCGTCTACAAGCGCTCAACCTGCTTCAATTCGTTTTATTGGTTTAGAATTGATTTGGTTTTGTAATTGACTTCGGTATATAAGGAGTCTCGTTACAATTTTACAGAACTATTCAGAAAGAGTCGTGAGTGAATTGGCTTGTTCTCGGAGATCTGTTCTGAGTTCAAGATTAGCTCTGCAAGTGTAAGCGCTTGGGGTTGTAATTCCTTTGTTCATATTAATAAATCAGCTTTATTCTTAACAAATTGGTGCGTAGTGAGCGATCTGGAGCAAACAATCTCGAAATGACGAAGAAAAACCAGAGCGAAGAAGCGATTCCACAAGTTTTGCTGGAATCGTTGGCGAAGTCGTTGCAATCGGCGATCTCTTCTCAAATCGAGATGGAGAAGGAGTCTCGACGGAGGTTCGGCGATTTGGAGAACAAGTTCGAAGCTATCATGTCGGCATTGCAACGCGAGTCGACGACGCATCAGGAAACGTCGAATGGCAACGGCAAATCTATTCCGATATCGCAAACGGAACAGGTACGCCCTCTTGACTAGGAACCTTGACGTAGTCTTAGGCCGGAGAAAATTAGGGTTCGTAGTAGCCTGGAAAGCAGAAGAGAAGGACTGCTGAGAAAAGTTGAGTTACCAACGTTTTCCGGTGAGGATACATACGGTTGGATTACACTTGCTGAGCGATTCTTTCAGATTGGAGGATATGATGATATAGGGAAACTCGATCTGGTCTCAGTGAGTTTGGCAGGAGATGTGCTGAGTTGGTTCAACAGTGAGATGCATCGTCGGCCTTTTGCTTGTTGGAAAGAGTTCAGATATCGATTGATTGCTCGATTCAGTAAGGAGAAATTGTGTGATCTGAGTCAACCTTTCTTCAGAGTCTCTCAGACTGGTTCGGTGGCAGAATATATCCACTTGTTTGAAGATTTGTCAACACAAGCGTATGGCTTATCTGATGCTCAGAGAGAAAGTGTGTTCATGAATGGTCTGAAACCAGAAATGCAGGAAGTGGTGAATATGTGCAAGCCTGTTAATCTCGAGGAGATGATATGGTTGGCATACCAGATGGAATCAAGCACTTTATATCGTGTTGTTTGCAAAGAAAAACTACAGAATCCTAAGTCTATTCAAGGAAGTGGGATTCCAGCCAACAAATCTTATTCAAGTCACCCAACTAATAATGCTTGGAAGATGAGAACGAATCAAGCGAGCCAACAAAATACAACACCACAGCCACGCTTGGGGTTTCCTCGACCTCAAATTCGTTTAACACCAGAGCAAGTTGCTGAAAATAAACGTTTGGGATTGTGTTTTTACTGCCCTGAGAAGTTTACAAGACAACACATTTGCCCAAATGCAGCGTGTCAGGCTTTAACAATGCTAAATGGTATAGAAGTGGAAATTGTCAACCAGGAGGTTTTAACGGATGAAGAAGAAGAGATCATTTGGACTCCGGAGTTAACAGCTCTGTCATTAAACTCCTTCTTGGGATTACCTTCTCCGACAACAACAAAAGTGAAGGGCTGTTTAAAGAAGCAAGCAATTGTGGTAATGTTGGATAGTGGAGCTACACACAACTTTATTACTCCTGACATGGCAAAGCGTGTGCGCCTTAAACCTGACAAATCTTATCAATCACAAGTGTTGCTTGGCACGGGTGTATCAGTTCATGGATCAGGAGTGTGTAGAAACGTTCAGCTCACACTACAAGATATTCAAATGACCACTGATTTCATAGTGCTTGAGTTGGGAAATGCCGATGTCATCTTAGGGTCCAGTGGTTGAGAACGCTTGGGAAGTGTTTAGTTGACTGGAAAAATCACGAATTGTCCTTCATGCATCAAGGGAAATATGTGACATTAAGAGGTGATCCTTCACTACATGTGGGTTTACCACCAATACGTGGCAGCGAGCATGGTATCAATCTTCAACCGGGTATGAGACCAATTAGTGTGAGGCCGTATAGATACCCTCACGCTCACAAAGAAGCTATTGAGAAATTGGTCTAAGAGATGCTGACAGAAGGATTGATTCGCCCGAGCCACAGCCCTTATTCAAGCCCTGTATTGTTGGTTAAGAAGAAGGATAAGTCATGGAGGTTTTGCGTTGACTACAGAGCTTTGAACAGGGCTACAGTGCCAGACAAATATCCAATACCGATGATCGATCAACTACTTGATGAGCTGTTTGGGGCTAAACTATTTTCAAAGTTGGATCTGCGCTCAGGCTATCATCAGATCAGAATGAAGGAACACGACATCGAGAAAACAGCTTTTAGAACTCATGAGAGCCACTATGAGTTTCTTGTTATGCCGTTTGGGTTAACAAATGCCCCGGCTACCTTTCAGGCTTTGATGAATAAAGTGTTTCAGCCGTTTCTCAGAAAATTTGTGTTAGTATTCTTTGATGATATACTTATATACAGTAAGTGTCTTCAGGACCATGTCAAGCATTTGGAACTGGTGCTATCCGTGTTTGTTGAGAAAAAATTGTTTGCTAATAAGAAGAAGTGCTCATTTGCTCAAAACCAAGTTGAGTACTTGGGACATGTGATATCTGAGAGAGGCATTTCTACTGATTCTCAAAAGATAACAGCCGTAAAATAGTGGCCCACGCCAAAGACTGTTAAAGAGTTAAGAGGGTTTTTGGGTCTCACGGGCTACTATAGGAGATTTGTGCATCACTATGGACTAATAGCTAAACCATTAACTGAGTTGCTTAAGAAGGATTAGTTCATTTGGACGCAGAAAACACAGACAACCTTCCATCAGCTAAAAGAGACAATGATCTCAGCTCCTGTGTTAGCATTGCCAGACTTCTCAAAGCTGTTTGTTGTCGAGTCAGATGCTTCAGGGTATGGCCTCGAGGCAGTGTTAATGCAATACCGACACCCAATCGCCTACTTCAGCTATGTGTTATCCGAAAGAGAGCAACAAAAACCTATATATGAACGTGAGTTGATGGCGATAGTAATGTCAATTCAAAAGTGGCGACATTACTTACTTGGACGAAGATTTGTTGTGAGAACAGATTAACAGAGCCTCAAATACTTGTTAGAACAAAGAGAGGTAATGTTGGATTATCAACGATGGTTGACACGCATTCTCGGGTATGAGTTTGATATTGAGTATAAAGTGGAAAGTGAGAACAAAGTAGCTGATGGGTTATCAAGAATAATCGATCAATGTCAGCGTGGCTGTTGTCTATAACGATGCCAACAACGTTACAGCTCCAAGATCTGTTTAAAGAGATATATGAAGACGCAGATATACAAGAGGTTCAGAAGAAGATAGAGACAGGGGAAGAGGTTCAGAAGAAGATTGGTGATTCCTCAAAATTCAAAACACATTCCACTGATCTTACAAGAGAACCACGACAGTTTGTTGGGTGGTCATTCTGGCATTCTCAAAACATTGCAACGGATTCAGTCAATTTTTCACTGGAATCAGATGAGGAAACGGGTTCAGCAGTATGTGTCGGAGTGCGCTATTTGCCAAACTCATAAATACTCGACACTATATCCTGCCGGCTTGTTGCAACCGATCCCTTTACCAGAGCAGATTTGGGAGGACCTTTCAATGGATTTCATTGAAAGATTACCACTTTCTCAAGGAGTTAATGTGATTTTAGTGGTGGTTGATCATCTCAGTAAATATGGACACTTCATACCACTGAAACACCCTTTCACTGCCGTTGATGTATCGCAGAAGTTTGTGAAAGAGGTGATCCGCTTACATGGGTATCCCAAGTCAATCATCTCGGATCGTGACAAGATTTTCTTGAGTAACTTTTGGCGTGAATGCTTCCATTGATCTGGTACGAAGCTCCGTTTTAGCACCGCCTTTCATCCTCAGTCTGATGGACAAACTGAAGTGCTCAACAGATGTTTAGAGACATATCTACGATGCTTTGCCTTTACACATCCGAAAACTTGGTCAAAATTTCTTTCCTTGGCTGAATTATGGTATAATACGTCATATCATACATTAACGCACACCACTCCCTTCAAGGTTGTGTATGGCAGGGAGCCTCCCACGTTGTTGCGTTTTGAGAAGGATTGTACTCAAAACTTTGAGTTGGAGACATTGTTGCAGGAACGTGATCTCTGATGTGAAAGAGCACTTAACACGAGCACAAGATGTGATGAAAAACAATGCAGACAAACATCGTCGTGACTTGGAGTTTTGTGTGGGACAAAAAGTGTATTTGAAGCTGCGACCTTATCGCCACCAATCAGTGAGCAGACGTTTGTGTCAAAAGCTAGCAGCTCGATACTATGGTCCTTATGAGGTTTTAAAACGTATTGGCAACATTGCTTACAGGTTGAGATTGCCAGATTCATCCAAAATACATCCCGTGTTTCATGTGTCGCAGCTGAAACCGGTGATTGGTGAGAATCAGATTTTCATGCCCCTTCCAGTGTCAGTTTCAGTTGATGATGAAGTGATTATTGAACCGGAGGCGATTGTGGATACTCGTTACGATGAACAAGGATATATGGAATTGCTGATTAAGTGGAAAGGTCTTCCAGATCATGAGATTTCGTTGTTGCGTGTAGGAGAGCTGAAGCAACAATTTCTAGCATTTTCGCTTGAGGACAAGCTCAGTCTGCATACAGGGGTATTGATATGCCGAAGAGAGTTTACGTTGCAAGGAAGAAGAGGACAAAAACAGAGGACGTAGCGTCTACAAGCGCCTAACCGGCTTCAATTCATTTTATTGGTTTAGGATTGATTTGGTTTTGTAATTGACTTCGGTATATAAGGAGTCTCGTTACAATTTTACAGAACTATTCAGAAAGAGTCGTGAGTGAATTGGCTTGTTTTCGGAGATCTGTTCTGAGTTCAAGATTAGCTCTGCAAGTGTAAGCGCTTGGAATTGTAATTCCTTTGTTCATATTAATAAATCGACTTTGTTCTTAACAAACTGCACTTCTTGCAAGTTGAGTGGTTCTAGGATATCTTCGGCATCGTCCAAATGGGGATCCATATCCTGCTTTCACTTCAACAAATCATTCTCAAATCTTCAAAGTGACTATGGGTTCTACAGTATTATTGTGATAATTGATTGTATCAGCGAATGTATCGTCAAATTTTAATCTCGTCTGAGTAAAATCCTAAATATTTTTTTGTCTAAAATCCTACAACATCCGATACTACTTTCTAGTCTAAAAATATTTAGTGACATCCTAGTTTAGTCGCCTACAACAGACAAGGCCGGCTCAATACTTTTAATGGCCTCTGGGCAAAAAAAAAAATTTAGGACCCCTAATAATTGATGAAACACACAAATTTGAGTTTCATTATTATCCTAATTTTGCTTAATTTGGAAAGTGAACCTGAGGCGGTTGCACCGATTGTCCCCCCCAGTAAGCCGGCCCTGACAACAGAACAAGCACTTTGGAGATTTGTCGCCAATAAATTCTTAGTAGCTCCTACCTTAGTGACATCCATTTTCTCAAGATCGATTAATATATATATATTGATAATACACTATCACTCATATAATTAACGAGTGGTCATCTTTCCAGGATGGGCTTGTGGCCTTGTAGAAAACATACACATATGTGGCTTTAAGGCCCAGGACACAAGCACTTGGTTAAAATGATGTAAGAAATATTAATGAATGCGTTATTGGGTAAATCAAAACGTAGTTTACGTTGGAAAATGCGTACTTAACATCGGGTTGTTATTTAGTAGAACATTCTGATGTATTATTCCGTTTTAAGCGTTTCATTTCATTGGTGGTGTTCGTTTTTTTTTTTTGTGTGTGTTTTCATGATGCATGTTGAAAGACTCTTTTCTTATTAATTTTGATTCTCCTTTTGATGTGCTTACATTATATTTTAGGATTCTGTTCTTGTGTTTATGTTGGCCAAGTGGGGTCTTGTGTTTTTTAGGAGTCTTAGGATGTTTTTGTAGTGTTTTTGGTTATTTCATTTTGTCTAATTAGTATTTTTGGAGATTAAAAAGCTCTTAACTGATATTACTCCCTCATCAAAGCTATTAACTGATATTTGTTCTTCTGACTTCCTCCGAAAATCTTAAACATTAACCTTAATTATATAATACTCCTCTAACCGGATCCTGTTTTGAAAGTATCAATATGGGAAGACCTGCCATATTCCATACTAACCTGAAGAAACCATGAATTTTTCTCGATTTCATCTATCCAGAAAAATCATTTTAAATAATCAAATATCTTCACTACCACTTTGTGCATGACAAACTGTACCTTAAATATGTCATTGCTCCGCCTCTGAATAGTAATTACCTACAAACTTTCCCGAGTTTGAACTTGTTGAGATCAACAAATTCTGAACATTCCTGCGCCAATTGAGCATATTTTGATTTAAATAAAAAGAACATAACAAATGCCACATATAACTTGCTTTTCTAATTTACTATGTATATGATAAATTGGTACTTACCTTTTCATTTTTCTATTATGTGTGTAGGGTACGTGAGTTCAGTTCTGCAAAATAACCATGTTTGTATAAAGATCGATCAGAAAACAAAAGATAGAAACTAAAGATCTCTTTTTTCTTACCATAGGAGCCATTCCTTTAGTACTGGGGATGTAACGAACATGAATAAGAGCATACAACATCTCAGCAGCTGACTGCACCATCTCATTCTTCTTTTTAGTGAACATATCACCTAGTTTCCGGAAAACATTTCCCCAAATTTATACAAAAGATCACATAAAAATAAAACTAATTTAGCAATGGACTTGAACTATCACCGTTTGATGATTCAACATCTCATATGAGATCAAGTGCATAATCATAGTAAGAAAGTTGACCACTCAATCCACAAAGACTGAAATCATCATATATGTAATCTTCATCTACTTCACAGAAAAACTCATTCCCTCTCAAATTACCGAACCACGAAATACAAGATATATCTACAAAAATTAAAATTATACCCAAAATCAGAAATTAATTTCTCCAGATACTAAAACCACAGAAACTGACAGAGATTGAGGGGAATGAATCCTTGTCTTTAGAAGTGAAAACCATAGATGTGGAAGGTGAAAAATTCTTCAGATGTTTGTCTAAAGCATCATTGATCCGTTTTCTATCAATAGCTCCACCGAGGATCTCCGATAACGACGATCCACCACCACCCATTATTCCTCCACTCCGATCCTTGAACATAACTCGAATCAAGCCCTGCAAACAACAAAGCAATGTAAATTTGCGGTCTCTTATCATAGTAGAGATAAAGAACACATGTATATATATATCATCTCGCTATTCACATGGGATAGAGTGTCTTTTATCTGGTTTGTCTTCGAACAAATACAACCTTATACATTTGATTTTCTACAGTTACTGTCCTTCATGGTTGGAGGCTGTTTCAGTTGCCATGTTCATCTTCCCCTTATTCTTTCTGCTGTGAAGATATGTTATCGCCATACTATTTATGCTTTTTGTTTACGTTTTCTATGGCTTTTCGATTTCCGGTGCTATTGAAGGTGTTTTAAACCAGGTTTTTCATAAATCCTCTGTGTTTAATTAGAAGTTGAAGGTGTTGGACTGTAACTACTGTTCGTTGCTGGTTGTGAAGGAGAAGAGAGAAGACGAAGGATTTCGTTGAGTGACGTGAGTGGATTTTATAATTGGGCTTTTGCCTTTCTGTGGACTATTTTGTACTCTGATTGTTTGGACCTATGTTAAATCATGTTTCGGAAAAGGTGAAGTTGATGATGATGTGTCTATTTGCAATTATTTTTGGAGGATTATGTTTGGGATTATTTTTGCCTACATGGAGGCCTTGAGAGAGCAGAAAATTTTTCCTTTTTATATAAAGAAGATATCTAGATATTTGTGTAGATAATTCTAGATATTATAGATAAAAATCTAGATATTATTGTAGAGAATTCTAGAGATTAGGAGAATGTTTGTAAGATATTTTGTAATAAGTGGAGCCTATAAATAGTCCACTCCTCCATCATTTATAAACAAAAGTTGAACAAGTAAAGAAAGAGTGTTTTTCATAAATTCTCTTATTCTCTCTAAATGTTTTTCAAGTTTTCTCTAAGTGTTCTTTTATCTCTTTATTCATACTTAGAGGGTCTTTTGTTTCTTTATTGTCTCTTTGATATTACAGTCTTAGGCTAGTGCTAAACATTATCAGTGTTTTCTTTACATGGTATCAGAGCCATTCTGATCTGGTTCTTTTCAAGATCGGGGTTAGTGAGATCTCGGATTACTTCCAAGTATGGAGTCAACAGGCCGCGTAGTTGGATTGGGAATGGAGATTTTAAACCAATCTAATTACCGGTTGTGGAAGTCATGTATGGAGTCATACTTGGTGAGTGAGGACTTATGGGATGTCGTCGGCAGCAGTAGCACAACACCACTAAGAGGAGCTGCTGCAACAGTGGAAGCGACAAAGGAGTGGACACGGAGGAATGCCAAGTCGGAGTTTGTGTTGAAGAGGTCAATATCCTCGAGAGTCTTTGAGCATGTATCAAGTTGCTCATCTGCTAGTTCTATTTGGAAGGCGTTAGAGCCGTTGTTCAACAAGAAGAATGAAGTTCGACTACAACTGTTAGAGAACGAGCTGGCAAATGCGAACCAGGGAGAGTCTCAATCTCAGAGTTTTTCATCAAGGTACAGAATCTTCGATCTGAGATTAATACTCTAAATCTGGAGGAGTCAATTTCAGAAGCATGTTTAAAATGGTATATTATTCGAGGTCTACAACCCGAGTATACACCGTTTGTGACTTCGGTTTAAGGATGGGCTACACAACCTTCCTTGGAGGAGTTCGAGAAGCTGCTAGCTTTGCAAGAGTCATTAGCTACGCAAATGGCAGGAGTCAAAATCCATGATGACTCGGGGAGCGTCTTTGTAGCTCGGAAGCAACAGAACTTTAAAGCCAAATTCAAGTATGATGGTGCAAAGCACATCGATGGACCGGAAGGATCTTCTACTAGAGATAAGAAGCGATTCAAGTGCTACCAATGTGGAAAGCTTGGGCATTTCAAAAAGGATTGCCGAGTCAAGCTGAAGGAGACAAATATGGCAGAATCAGAAGGCCATATTGAAGACGAAGAATGGGGGAAATGCTTCACGGTGGAGGCTGCATCTTCAGGTACATCCACTACTAAAAATCTTGGAAATGATTGGATTGTGGATTCGGGTTGTAGCCATCATATTACCGGAGACGAGAAGCTATTTTCTAGTCTTCAGCACCATGACGGAAAATAGGCCATAATTACCGTGGATAATTCAGTATACCGGGTCGAGAAGGAAGGGACTGTTGTCATTGAAGGAGATGATGGAAGCCCTATCACTCTCAAGAATGTAAACCATTTCCCTAGAGTAAGGAAGAATCTTCTCTCTGTGGTGAATGCAGTAGACTCATGTAACTACGTTTTATTTGGCCCAAGAGACGTCAAATTCTTGAAGAATATTAAAGAGATAAAGGCGGATGTGGTTCCCACTGGATCGCGGGTTAAGGATCTATATGTTTTATCTGCATCCAACTCTTATGTGGAGAAGATGAGCACAAACGATAATGCCTCTATATGGCATGTTCGGCTTGGTCATATAAACATGACTAAGCTAAAGGTTATAGTGAATAAGGATTTGGTTAACGGGCTTCCAAAGCTGAAGATTCAAGATGAAGAAAAGATTTGTGAAGGCTGTCAATATGGAAAATCACGTAGACTTCCATTTGACAACTCCACTTCATGATGCATTGCTCCATTGGAGAAGATCCATAGTGATTTGATGGGTCCTACAAGAACACCCTCATATTCCGGATTTCAGTACATGCTGCGTGTTTGTTGATGACTTCTTACGGTACACTTGGGTATACCTTGTGAAGGAAAAATCAGAAGTATTCTTCAAGTTTTAAAAATTCAAGGTTACCGTTGAAGGGGAGCTGGGTCGGAGAATCAACACCTCAACAAAATGGAGTAGCAGAAAGGAAGATCGACATCTAACCGAGACATGCAGAAGCTGGCTATATGGGAAGGATCTGCCTAAGGCCTTGTGGGCGGAAGGCATGAGATGCGCAGCGTACGTCATCAACTGGCTGCCACTCAGTACAAACAACATATATTCTCCTTTTGAGATGGTTTATGGGAAGAAACCATCAATGAAACATCTCAGGATATTTGGATCAGACTGCTACGTCCACGTGTTCGATTCTCAAAGAACCAAGTTGGAGGCAAGGGCGAAGAAGTCCATCTTTGTTGGCTATGATGAACAAAGAAAAGGTTGGAGGTGTATGGATCCAGAGACACACAGGTACGTAGTGTCTCGAGATGTTGTTTTTGATGAAGTTTCCTAATTTTATGGGCCACCTCAAGTCTTAGTTGAGCAAGAAGATGGGAGCTCAAGGATGGAGGTCCTGAAGTAGAGATACAAGGTGAAAGGGGGAGCACTGATCAGGAGGAGGATGAGGATGAAGATCATAGTTCCATGGCTAATCAAAGGCCTAAAAGAACCATCGTTAAGCTTGCTCGGTTCAGAGATCCAAAGTTCGTTACTACCTTCTCGTGCTACTTTGCAGCTCCATTAGATGAAGATGAGCCAACATCTTATGATGAAGTAAAAGGCGTTGATGAGTGGAAAACCGTAATGAAGGAGGAGATGTATGCTCTCATGAAGAACGAAACTTGGGATTTGGTTCCGAAACCCAAGGATGCCCAACCTGTTTCTTGTAAATGGGTGTACTGGATCAAGCACAAAACAGATGGAAGCGTTGATAGATTCAAGGCAAGGTTGGTTGCTCGAGGATTCTCTCAAAAGTATGGAGAAGACTATGATGAGACCTTCAGCCATGTAGCCAAGATGACTATGGTACGCCCTCTCTTATCTTTGGCTGTAAGTTTTGGTTGGAAGTTATGACAATTAGACGTGAAGAATGCTTTTCTATATGGAGAGATTGACAAGAAAATCTTGATGGAGAAACCACTTGGTTTCATATCACGAGGGCATCCTGATTATGTGTGTAAGCTGAAGAAGGCCTTGTATGGGATAAAACAAGCTACACTAGCCTGGTATGGAATGCTTGCTCAGTTTCTTCAGTTCTGCGGTTATGTGGCATCAAACTCTGATCCGAGTCTATTCTTTAAGAAGAATGGGGGAGTCCACGTTGTAGTTCTCCTTTACGTGGATGATATGATAATTACCGGGAATGATGATGCAGAAATTGCTCGTTTACAAGAGGATATGTCAATAAGGTTTGAGATGAAGAAGTTGGGAGAGCTCAACAACTTTCTCGGTTTGGAGGTGGAAAGGGTAAAGGATGGAATATTCATCGGCCAACAAAGATATGCAAGAAGAATTGTTGAGAAGTTTGGAGTACACGAAGGAAAAACAACGCTATACTCCAATGGACGTCAACATAAATCTTAAACGCGATGAAGGGTCCTTGCTACCTGATCTTCGGCTTTATCGCTCTCTTGTAGGAAGTCTTTTATACTTAACCATTACAAGACCTGACATTGCCTTAGGTAGATCTTGTAAGTAGGTATATGCAGGCACCAAGGAAGCCACATCTAGAAGCAGCAAAGAAGATATTAAAGTATGTGAAGACAGCTCTTGGCATGGGTCTGGTTTACAAGTATAATGCCAAGGTCTCTCTTTATGACTTCACGGATGCTGACTTTGGTGGAGATCTTGATGATCGGAAATCAACTTTAGGCTATGTGTTCATATGTGGGGACACAAATGTCTCATGGTGCAGTAAGAAGCAAGCAACAGTGTCATTGTCTACAACTGAAGCAGAGTATAAAGCTACAACTCTAGCAGTTCAAGAGTGTATATGGCTTTGGAGACTCTTTGAAGATCTATTCGAGCCAATCAATAAGCCAGTTGCAGTTTATGGAGATAATCAAAGTGCGATCAAGCTGGCCAACAATCCGGTGTTCCATGAACAAAACACATTGAGTTAGAGCATCACTTCATAAGGGAGAAGGTGCTTGATGGGACAATTGAAGCTTTGAGAGTTCGAAGCGAGAATAACGTTGCTGATATCTTCACCAAGTCATTACCAAAAAGTCAGTTCGGGTTACTTCGCTCGAAGCTCGGGATGGCTGACAAAATCAAGTTTAAGAGGGAGTATTGAAGTTAAACTTGATTTTGGGTTAAGTTTAATTTTGGGTTTATAAAATAATCATTACTTATTGGATTAGGCCCAAAATTAAGCTCAAGTTCTAGAATCTCTAGAATCATCATTAAAAATCATCATCTTTCTTAAGTGTTCTAGAAAATTCTATTAGTTAAATATCTGGATATTTGTATAGATAATTATAGATATTGTAGATAAAAATCTAGATATTATTGTAGAGAATTCTAGAGATTAAAAGAATGTTTGTAAGATATTTTGTAATAAGTGGAACCTATAAATAGCCCACTCCTCTGTCATTTGTAAACAATAAGAAGTTGAACAAGTAAAGAAAGAGTGTTCTTCATAAATTCTCTTATTCTCTCTAAAGCTCTTTCAAATTTTCTCTAAGTGTTCTTCATCTCTTTAATTTTACTTAGAAGGTCTTTTGTTTCTTTCGGGTCTCTCAGATATTATGATCTTCGGCTAGTGGTAAGCACTATCGGTGATTTCTTTACAAACGAATGGATATGATAGTCTATAAACCTATAACTACTAAATCAGATATGAGGAAGCCGAGTCCGTGAGCAGGTTATATAATCTAATGAATAATCATTTATAT